AAGGGAAGTTAAGAGACTCAATAACGTTAAGACCAACCACGTGACCGGAGTCCGAACGATAACCGAAGCCTTGGAATTCCCTTTGCCTAATTACTACGCATCTTTCGATAGGTTATCCCAGTACGTCACACGAAGATCCATAAGTTTGAGCAACAGACTCGCCGTTAATAAGGATGACAATAGGTGTTAAAATGTTTCGGATAACCAGTATAAGTTTCGGATTATACATTTCGGGGTTTCGGATTAGTACTTCCCGAAACTAGTTTCGGGTAGGTTTCGTCTCGGGTAACATGTATATTCTAAACCCCAGCTGGTGACTCAGGTTTCACTCTGTCGTATTATAAATTGGAAAGATGTATCATTTTGTACGTAATTTCCAAGGTATTTCTTTCGTCTCACTCGTTTTGCCGACACATTGTTATCAGTAATTGGTTATAGGATATGAGGCGTAAGGATCTTACAAGTTGTTTATTAGGCTCCGTAACTTAAACAGTTGTGCAAGGACTATCTTATTGGGTATTGTGGTCTTGCGGCTTAGCAATAGTGTAAAAACCTCGTATAGTTAGGTCCCCTCTTTGTGACAATGTGGTTTCCTTCTCGATGACCGTCTTCTTATACACTAGGCTTATTAGGGTGTTTATGAAAGCTTTCTAAGAGATTTTTATTATTAGGAGTAAAATAAAAACAGTTATTTCTTAGGGTTTATGTTATAAGATAGATAAAAAAAAACCAGTTAAAGATAGAACAGATTCCCACATGTTTTCCGCTTTGTTTTAATAAGTTATCTAATTGAGAAATAATAATAGATCAAATCGATATATTTATTAATTTTAAATATTCTAATATTAAATAATGTTAATTGATCCTGTGGCATTATCAAAATTCTTTAGAAAATTGCCGTCAGTATGTTACTATTAGTGTTCTAAAGTTATTTATTAGTTATCAATTAACGTATCTAGAAGCAAAATTATCACGTGTAACTAGATTAATTAGTAAACTTTCAAAAATAGATACCTCCTTGACCATTGTTACGACTAGTTGGGAGAGCAGCAAACAATCTATTGGTACATTATGTGTGATTTAAATCCAGCCGCAACTTACGATAGCATTTCATTCAGTAATTAAAGAAGGCAAGTCAATTACTCAAAAAACGGCTTGATTTGTTTTACATTGTTTAAGAGATATTTTTGACCTAATATTTCACCAATAAAGACAATAGATTGTTCAATTATCTTTATGATAAGAGATCTAAACTTTTATACATATTAATAATTAGAGGATATTTCTCAGTGTCATTACTACACTATCAGGTCATCTCACAACCCAATTCAGCCCCTAAACAGGCTTTTATACAAACTAAAATTATTATTCTATTTAATTTTTAATTTTTTTTATTACTTAAAAATCAATTTTTATATTTTAAAAGCCAGTTTGAACTAAAAATTATAGTATTCAGAAATTAATTTAATTTCTACTATATATTCTACCCAATTAAATAGTATAATATATAATAACTGTTATCTGTTATATTTATTACAAGAATTTTTTATAAATATACAAAACTTACATAAATTTAAATTAATTTACTTTTTTTGCCTATCTGTTTTAGTACTAAGCGTTGAGATAATATTGATATCAGGTAATATAAATATTAGTATCGTTATAAGTATCAATATTAGTATCGTTATAAGTATCAACATTAGTACCAGGAGTTGGAATGGGCTTAATTAATTGATTCTTTGATTTTATAAAATATATAAGTCCAGCGATTATGGCTATAAAAATGATTACACTCACAACAACAATTCCAATAATATGACCACTAATTCTTTGACTTGATGAATTAGTTGATGATGAAATCCAAACATAATTTTGAACATCAAATAAATAAAGGTTATTATTTGCTGTTTTCGTGGAGGTTTGAACTCCTATAATATAATTTATACAAAACATTAATATTCTTATCAAATTATTAACTTTACAAATTCGCTATAATATTGGAATCTTCAAAATAATTAAACTTTATAGAATATATAGTATGTTCTCTTATTACTTCAAATTACATAAATTTGAAAGTTACTTACCGAATGTGATAATCATGATATTATTATATAATGCAGCAGAATGATAGCAAAGCGATGGTGGAGCATTTGTTGAAGGAATATTTGGAACCGACCAATGATATGGTGAAACATTAGTGTTTAATATTGCGAGATTCGGAATGGCAGTGATTATAAAATCATGATTAATATCATTTGCTGAATTTCCACCAAAAATTATAATATTTCCATCTTTTGCTAATAATAAAAAGGGAATTTAATATATTTATATATACGTATTATATTATAAATTGCGATAATTAAATTTACTAACTTAATACTGCTGAATGTGAATTTCTGGATGTGATTGTAGCATTAGAAGATGCCTGCTAAAAATGAAGTTTTACGATATATTTATATGTGACAAATTTAAATTCTTTTTAGTAAAAGTTCATTAATTACAAAATACCATTTGAGTCCAGGTCAAAGAACTTGTATTAAAAATTTGTATCTATATTTTTTGGTTATTATTTATTAGAGTTAATAATCATTAATATAATAATTAATTAAATTAAAAATGCTATACCTCATTGATATCAACATTGGTTTCAACGCTTTGTAAACCACCGATATAAATTATGAGATTATTTTTTAATAAAGTAGCAGTATAACCTCCACGAGATGTTGGAATATTCCCAACAATATTCAGCTGAGACCATTGCATTGTATTTGTATTAAGTACATTCATAAAATTATGGTAATTTCCACTACGTTGTGAATTAACAATAGAATCTACTTGGAATCCTCCAAAAATAAAAATTTTTCCTGTATTAACCATGATAGCTTGCATGCGAGTTAGTGTTAAAGATGTATTATAAAATCCGGTTGTAATTGGTGTGTACCATTTTAAAGTATTAGGGTTAAATGTATATAATAGTGAAGAAGGGTAAATTACATTCAGTCCTGCTTGGTCTGTAGAAATTCCTCTAATTATTAGTTAACTAATTAGAAACTGGAGTACAAAAAAAGCTTGAACTATACCAAAAATAATTAAATTGTTGATTC